CACTCAGCTTCACTGACAGATAGGTGAGTTGTTTGAGGTGGCCAGTGACACATTGGTGGATAAACGATGGAATTAGGCAACTTTTTACGTGCCCGAGGGGTCCCCTCATTAATGGAGGAGCAGAAGGTCATTAAAACGAGAGAGGTAGTCTCTAAAACAGACATGGCTATGGCTCGATGCTAACATGTTTGTTAGGTGTCAGAATTCAGTCAGAATTCTGAGATTAAAGTCAAAATTACAATACTAGACTGAAATCTAATTAAAAAATCGGTTAACTTTTTTTTTTTTTCTTCAGTGGCCCTAATCCTCTTCCGTAAGAAAATGTTTTTTATCAGCTAAACCTTTTTATTCCTCTCAGCATACGCAGGAAAAGGTTCACCTGCTGATCCAGCTGGCTGAAAGCATGCTGGCCAAAGGCCACGCCCACCGCGCTGAGCTACGCCGCTGCGTCTCTGCGGTGGACAAACGATACCGTGACTTCACGGTCAGGATGGGTCAGTACCGCCACCTGCTGGAGGCCGCACTGGGTAGCAGTTCTCAGGTAAGTTCACATTCCAGTCATCCTACACTGTAAAAAATGTAAAAGACAATTTTTCTTAAAATAAGTGCATTTGTTCTTGGATTGAGGAGGAAAAAAGAGACATTTAGCCAATGGAACAAGATTATTTACATTTAAAATAAGAAAACACAATTGCACTGGAAAAACAATCTAGAAATAAGTAAAAATGTCTGAAATTAAGTGTATTTCAGTAGGTAAATGAGATGCCAATGGAATTAGTATTTTTAATTTTAAAATAAGGTATTTAGATAATATTTCAATGTAACAAGACAATTTATATTTAAAATAAGAAAACACAACTGCATTTTCTTATTTCAAGTACAAAGAGTGTCACTTACCGCCTCAATTCAAGAAGAAATGCACTTAATTTAAGAAAAATTGGCTTATTTAGACTTCTATTTTTTGTAGTCTATTTTTTCTACTCAAATTAAGGGTAAATACACTTAATTTAAGAAATGATGACTTATATCAGGGTCGGTTTTGCAGTGTTACATGTTCATAATAACTAATTATCTTATTTTAATGCTAAAAATGCTCATTGTGTTTGCATATAAAGGGTAAATACACTGATTTTAAGACATTTTTTGCTCATTTTCAGAATGTTTTTGCAGTTTTCCTTTTTCTACGCATCGAGCTGAAGGTTTAACTTCCATTAAATGGTGTCGGTTTGTTTTAGGATAACAAGGATTTAGAGCTGGAGCTGATCCCCAACAGTTTGTCTGACTCGGACCCTGAGGTGAACCTGTCTGACCCGAGTCACCAGGTCAGCGACGAGAAGAGACGCTCCGCTCGCAAAAAGGAGTGAGTACCGCCTGGAGGAGCGTCGCCGTCGGCACGACCGCGTTCCTTTAACGACGTCTGTGTGTTTGCTCAGGTACATCATGGCGGAGCTCCTTCAGACGGAGAGAGTCTACGTCCGAGATCTACAGGAGTGCATAGAGGTGAGTCTGGAAAAGTCTGGAGCGTCGCTCCACCATCATCCATGAGAAATTTGGTACTAAAAGACAAATGGAAATGAGTTGATATTCCAAATTCTATAAATGCTTTGAAAGAATTAGCCATTTCACAATGATTTTACGCCCAACAACCAGCAGAAAAAGTCCTGAGTTTCCTGCATTCTGGTTGCAGACATACCTGTGGGAGATGACCAGTGGCTCAGAGGACATCCCACCTGGTCTGGCCAACAAGGACGACACCGTGTTCGGAAACATCCAGGACATCTACGAGTTCCACAACAGGTGCGCCTAAAATATATTAATAAACCAACCAGTGAGGCGACCGGTATATCTGTTA